CTTTCATGCAAAGGCAGCAGCGACAGAATCTGCTAAGTTCGTGACACATGTAGGCAAAGTCTATTCTGCTTCCGCAAAAACATGACTCTGTGTTGCCAGACTTTGGCCATACTGATGTCCTTGTAGATGGCAACAGTCTGCTCCTGAATCAGAGAAGTCAGATGAGCAAATAGTAATTGTAAATTAAATGAACAGTCAGGACTATGGGAAATCCAATATGGCTGGTTGGTTCTTTCAGGCTCCCTGGCAAACCCCATCTTTTGATTTTTGCATTCCTTCACCCACCATGGTGGAATTTAGATGACTCGAATTATAAATAAACATTGGTAGGGAGATTTCTATAAAACCGCAAGCGCAGTTAACCACAAAGTTCTGACCTGCCAGGTCCACAATCCTGGAAAAACTATTTTTGTTTCCAGAGATCTCAAACCTCCTCTCTCTGGATCCTTTGAACACCTGCAGCTGGACTTCATTCAACTGCTATTTAGTATGGGTTATCAGTATGTCTTTGTTATTTTATGTATGTTTTCTGGATGGGTTGAAGCCTTCCCTTTCTGCAAGACTGATGCACTTGGAGTGGCAAAGAAACTTTTGGAAAATGTGCCTCCCACTTGGGGCATACTTTCCACAGTCTCCAGAGATCAAGGCACCCACTTCACTGGTCAAATCATACAAGCTTTAATGAAAACCTTACAAACTTCTTGGAATAACCCCTGCCCCTATCGCTCTCAATCATCAGGCCAGGTTAGGAGAACTTAATGGGATTCTCAAACTTAAAATCTCTAAGCTTGCTGAAACTACTGGGCTCCCTTGGCCTCAGGTTTTGCCTCTGGTCTTGCTGCCTGTTTGCAGTAACCTCTTGGGGAAATTTGAGCTCCCTTCGCATGAGATAGGCCCTAGTAGACCAATGTATATAAGTATACAATTTTCTGTGGATCCCTTGCTTTCTCATACTGGTACAATCAGCTACTGTAAGTCTTTAATGTGTTATACTAAAGCTGATCATCAGCAGGTTAAAGAAATTTTCCTGGATCTTAATTCAAAGGATCTATTCGGTCACAGTCTGGAACCTGGTGACTGAGTATGTTGGAAATGTCATCAGAGGAAGACAGCCCTCGAACTCCATTGGAGTGGACCTCACTAAGAGCTCCTGATGGACACCGCTGCAAAACTACAAGGCATTGAGCCTTTGGTGCACATCTTACAGCTGAAGAAGGCTCCACCTGACATCTGGTCCTGTCCAAATGCTGGAGAACTTCGAATCAAACTGATGAGAAAGGGAGGTAGCTGACATCCACTCAAGATGCTGGATCAAGACTTCGTACTTTAACTAAACATGAAAACTATTTTTTTCTTTCTTTCCTTTACTTTGACATTGGCCTGGAAAGATAATGTGTTTAGTTATATTTTCCGGGCCATCGTTAAAGGTGGTAGCCTTTTGGTCTGCTGGATTTGGCATCAGAGATTCTGATCTATCCATAATACTGGAGACTCCCCTGGTACTCTCTGTGACCAATTTCTCTTCTATCCCAATGTCACCACAAACTATAATTGGCCACTCCCTGCCCTTGGAAGTGCCTTACCTAGTTCAGCCTTTATGGTCAAAACACCCAGTGCTATGTTTTTACTATTCTCTGATTATAACTGTACTTGCTCAATTAGACACAAATACCTACGCAAGTCTTAGTACATTTGCACCCCCCATTCTCATGATTATCTAAATTACAAAAAGATCTCACCAGCAGTACCAATCTTTGTAAGGTATTTAGAACAACTCTTTATTTCAGGGTAGGTTTACTTCCTGGATGTGCTGAAAACCTAAATGACCCCTGGCTTGAGTGGGCAAATGCAACACTTTCTGCTAACGAATCCATTAACAGTACCATAAAGGATCTGATTAGATATTTTTTCCAAAGAAGACATACAGATGGTCAACAAGCACATGAAAAGATGTTCAGCATCACTAATTATCAGGGAAATGCAAATCAAAGTCAAAGGAGAAATCAGCTCACACTGATTAGAATGGAAATTATCAAAAAGATGAGAAATTACAGGTGTTGAAGAGGGTGTGGTTGGTGGGAAAATAGTACAGACGTTCCTCGAATAATTAAGACTAGGACTACCATGTGATTCAGTTATTCCACTTCTGAATATTTATCCAAAGAATATGAAAACACTAAATTTAAAAAGATATATGTACCCTTATGTTAATTGATGAATTTCAAAGGTATTATGTAAAATAAGTCAGATGGAGAAAGACAAGTACTGTATGATTTAATTCACATGTGGAATATGAAACAAAAAAACAAATGAATGAAAAAAACAAAACAAATTCATAGATGCAGAGAACAGATTGGTGGTTACCAGAGGGGAAAGGGTAGGGAAGAAAAGCAAAATGGATTGAAGGAGTCAATTGCATGGTGACAAATGGAAACTAGACCTTTGGTGGTGAGTATGCTGTAGTGTATACAGATGTTGAGTTATAATGTTGCACATCTGAGACTTATGTAATGTTATAAACCAATGTTACCTCAGTTAAAAAAAAGAATTCTTGCCATTTTAGGGGGGTGGCTAAGGAAAGTGGTGTGTATAAAGTAAGAATGGACATTAAATGACAGTAAATTTCATTATTAACTGTCCTTACAGTTACCCATATAATGTGTAAATGAGTTCATTAAATCAGTCTCTCTACTTTTATATGTTTTTGATATTTTTCTTAATATAAATATATATTTTTAAATTTTATTTTATTAGTTTCTAGTATACAGTACATTGGTTAGACATTTATATAGTTTATAAAACAATCCCCTAATTGCTCTTTCTCTCCTCTGGTTTTCGATCTAGCCAATATATTAATGCTAACAACATTCCCTATGCTGTGCTCCCCATCCCCATGACAATCTATCAGCTACTAATTTGTTCTTGTTTGTTCTTTTTGTTCTTTAGATTCCACATATAAGTGAAATCATATGGTATTTATCTTTCTCTGTCTGACTTATTTCACTCAGCATAATAACCTCTAGGTCCATCCATATCAATGCAAATGGTAGGATTTCATTTCTTTTAATGGCTGAGTAATATTCCATTGTATATATGAACCATAATTTCTGTATCTAGTCATCTGTTGATGGGCATTTAGGTTGCTTCCATATCTTGGCTATTGTAAATTGTGCTGCTATGAATATTGGGGTGCATAGATCTTTACGAATTATTGTTTTGGTTTTCTTTGGGTAAATACCCAGCAGTGCAATTGCTGGGTCAAAAGGTATATCCATTTTTAATTTTTTGAGAAATCTCCAGACTGTTTTCTATAGTGGCTGTACCAATATAAATTTTTATAAGTGCAAAAATTTTTGAAGACACGATAAAAATTTATTGAAAGACATTAAGAAGAACTTGTACGTATGTGGCAGATCACAAATATAATAATCCAAAGCAGTGTTTTTCAGCATAATTTAAAACTGGAAACAAATCCAACAGGAGTCAGACTGGCATGGGATGCGAGAGAAAGAGAGAAACCAAGGATATTTTCAAAGTTTTTAGCCCGAACAACTGGAAGATAAGAGTTGCCATTTCCTGAGATAGGGAAGTCTTCAAGAGGAACAGGTTTTGACAACTGGAGATAATACCAGAAACAAGTTTTAGACATATTAAGCTTGAGATGCCTATTAGGCATTCAAGTGTAGGGGTCAAGCAGGCAGTTGGATATGCAAGTCTGGATGACCAGCCTGAGTTACTATTGAAGTTGTACGTTTGGGAGTCCTCAGCATACAGAGTCCTTAAAGTCAGGAGACTCGGTAATGTCTCTAAACAAGTGAGCATGAATAGAAAAGAGAAGATGGCCAAGGACTGAACACTGGGACACTCTTCTTGGATGACTGCCATAGTCTCACTCCTCCCTGCTTCAGCTGTCAAGCCCACTCTCTGTCCCCACCCACAAAAGATCATCTTTCAGCATCCAAAGTGACCTTCTAAAAGCGTAATTCAGATTATGTGACTTCATTGTCTAAGCATCTTCGGTGGCTTCAGTAGCTCATAGGCTAAATCCCAACTTCTCACCAACAGGATTTGGCTGCTCCCCACACAACCATCACACTTTATTCTTCCTTCCTTTGTTTTCTACAGACTGGTCTCTCTACTTTGTTATGCTGTTTATTCTTCAAGCACATGGACCTTTTTCATTTCAGGGCATCTGCACTAGCTATTTCCCTAGCATGGAGGGAGACCTGATCTTTGAAAGCTGGCTCTTATTTTCACTTAAATTTTAGCTCAAAGTGCCATGTATTCACAGAAGTT